GTTAAGAGCCTACCATATACCAGGGAGCTTTTCTAGGAACAGAATATTTCATTAAATTCCCTGCTGTGGAACATGCATGCTAGGAGTGGAGGGAAATAACCATAACCTCCAAAATTAGTATGACGCCACTGTGGTCAGTAGAATTTTTCAGCAATTCTGAGAAAAAGTTTCCTAGCTATTGAGGTCTTTTAAAAGCTCATATTCATGTTGATTGAATTTCATCAATACATAATTTCATCTAATACATAAAAATTTTTTATTAGCACTCTAAATCTCTCACACAGTTTGGAGAGTTGTATATAGATATATTAATTTAGCAACAGAAAATAGTGACTGTAAGATAAAGTGATAAGAATAAATATTATTATAGCAGTAAATCTATATTCTCTATGTGTCTTCTACATGAAGGCATGTAAAAGTCAACTACTTATTTACTAATGGCTTGTAGAAATACTCTGCACATTGTAGATAGCCAAGGTGTTATCTTGATAACCCAAATATATGTCATAATGCTTAAGCATTAAATTCACTTAGCATAGGATTATAAATATATTTTTGCCTAAATTAGATTCTCAAATGTATGTGTTTGTTTAAAGAATTCTTGATTTGAAAAAAATTGAATTACATCATGAAAAAGTGTTCATCTTGTTTGGAAGAGAGGAATGTAAGTTTTTAGAATCTACATTTATTTTGGATACTGCTATAGCCTCTCCATCTGTAGATGCTTTCAGGAATGATGTCAATAACTGCATTCTTAAGACAAGACAAGAACTCTAATATTGTGGTCAATATTTTGGAATCAGAACAGAGTAAGAATATTTTTCTTCTGCTAATCTTTGAAAGTTAAAGTCATTTTCTGGATCTTCATTAGCTATTCACTATCAGGAGAAAAGTTAAGCTTTCAACCTGAAGACATTCCCTAAAACTAGGTTTCCTTTCCAGTACCATCTTATTTTTCATTGCTTTGGTATTTGAACACATTAATGACAAACACTGTTGTTTTGTCTCCTAGTCTCTTATCTCTTCAGTTTATGGAGCCTCTGACCCAGAAAGATCATTCAGTGGTCTACTAACACATACATTGGAATTTTACTATTTGCCTCTGCTGAAAGGCTTTATTTCTGCCTCCTGATTCTTTCCCAATTGTCATTCTCTGTACCAGTGAGGCGCACTGCTTACGAGAGACATTCTGCTCACAACATAGTTTCATTAATCGAGTCACTTCTGAACAATAAGTACTTCCATATTCAGAAAGATGAATACCTCAACAAAAGGGTTAATGTGTCAGAAGTTTGTATGTATCCCAATGAAGACATGACTTGGAGTTTACTAATCACTACTACAGAGCCATTGTGGATATCCAGTTCTTCCCTAATTGTAAAAACACAGGCTAACCAGAAAGTGCAACAAAGATCAAAAGTTGCCATGGTGACTATGCAGAGACAGTAAGCATTCAATGAATGGCTTGAACATTTTAATGTTCTAGTCTTTATCAACTAACTTATCACTTGGAGGATTCAAGTAGCTCCTTTCTCTTTTTTGTGGCGATCAAATCTAATTTGTTAAATTCTTCAATCTTATCAATACTAGCTGTCAAAGAAAAATAATCAATCATGAAGTATAAGCATAATAAAGTAATTTTTTGTTTATTTTTGACAGGGTTTCTGTGTGTAACCTTGGCTGACCTGGGACTCACTCTCTAGACCAGGCTAGCCTCAAATTTACAGAGATCTGCCTGCCTCTGCCTCCTGAGTGCTGGGATTAAGGACATGTGTCACTATGCCCAGCAATAAAAGTAATTTTCAAAGCTATAAGTTTGATTTACAGTAAATTATTATAATGCCTAATAGATAAAAATACAAAATGAGAAAACAGAAGAAGCCAAAATAATTAATAAAATATTTTGCATAAGCATTAAATAAGAAACTCTCTAACATACAAGTTTTGGATAAAAAAGGGACCTCTATTTTTCTTTGCAAACTTTATGATGGTTCAGGAATTTAGACAGTGATAGTAACCCGGGCTTCCTTTGTTAAGAACTAAAGATGAAAAGAAAAGGGACAAAAATTAAGCAATTCTCTATGCCAAGACACAATTGCTTGTGACAGCGAGCATAGTAAAAGAACACACAAAAGGAAGGCGAAAGGCAATTCTGCTGTGGGTTCATTTAAAAATTATACAGGACACAAAAGATACAACAAAAGAAGAAAACAGTAGATCCTGTCGTTTCATTTAAGCCTTTACAATATGCTAAGTAATGTGTCACCTGATTTACACATTTTATTCATTTATTCATAATACCCTGTGAGTGAAACATTTCTGCCCCCACTTTACAGATAGTAAACTTCTCCTTAGAAGTTAATTTATCCACAGTCATATGACTTGTCTCTGATAGTAGGCCTGGGCTGTTAGGCCAGAATTTGTCTAACCACGAAGAATACATGTTACACTATTATTGAAACAGTGGAGGATAATATCCAGAAGAGTCCAAAGGTTCAAAGAGCATTTCACAGCTGTGGCTCATAAACCATTCTCTAGATTTGGCTTACAAAGTAAAAAAGAAATGCTTTAGCTTTAACAGGGTGACAAGTTTGGAGAGAGAGGGAAAGCTCAAGGAAAAAGGGCTTTCAAAGCTATAAGTGGTTGGCCCAGGGCCAGGAAAGCGCAGTGTGTAAAATCTTTGAAGGTTAAAGGATCTCTATAGACTAAAAGGCTAAACCAACTCTTTCTGGTCACATTACTAAGAGTAAAGCTCTTATACATAAAGAACCAATTAGCCTATTTATCTCTGCACTTGAGATCTCAGTATAATAATTCAGCTGCTATGCCGAGGTTGTGATTATAGAAACACTACCTCATCACTTATTTGACCTGATGTTATCCTAAATGCCTTCTACTTGACTCTAATAGCAATGCAACGAAGAAGTACTCCTATCATACTTTTGGAGGGACTAGGTTATGTTTCATGTCAGGGCTCATTGTCTTTACAATGATATTGCGTTGATGTCAGAGCACATAAATAATTACAATGACTATGTACTCTATCCATTCATTTTGATACGTAAAATAATCCTTTTCTAAAATGACTTATCTTAAAATTTCACTTGCTAAGCATATTTAAAGATTGTTAGTGTTTTCAATACAGTCATCTATTAGCAACTAACTGGAATTTCCTTCAGTGGGAATAGTATTATTTTAGGGTCTTACAGGGTGTATTAGGTTGAAGAAGAAGTCTGCAGGCATTGGAAAGGATAAAGAAGTAAGGGATACTCAGGTATGTTCACAACACATTCATACCACATTGTTAAAATTTTTTTAAATAATACAGCTGGGCGGTGGTGGCGCACACCTTTCATCCCAGCACTCAGGAGGCAGAGGCAGGTGGATCTCTGTGTTTTTGAGGCCAGCCTTGTCTACAAACAACTTCCAGGACAGGCTCCAAAGCCACAGAGACGCCCTATCTCAAAAACAAGAACAAACAAACCCAAAGTATAAAAATAATCTTAATAAAAGAAAGGAATTTATGAATTCTACTTAATGACCTTACATACTCTATAATCTGGGGTTAAATGTCATACAAACAAAACACAAAGCTGTGTGTTACAGTATAGTTGCTGATTTATTGAGCCATTTAAGCTGTAACTTCCTGATGGCAAATGCTGAACAAAGTTTCTTGTTAGTGTTATTTCTTCCCTTTTATTTATTTTCTTCAGTATTTCATTCTAGATTGTTCATTTGTTACCTACAAGGATTGAAATCGCTATTCGATGTATAATATTGATAGCATAATTCATATATACGTGTGTGCCACAAGCTGAAACTGATGAAGTCTGCATGTTCTAGCAAGAACCCAAAAATTTATATTAGGTAAGTAATTTTATTTAGTCAGTAAACACATAATATTTTTAAATCATACAGAGGAATGTGGCAAATTCTGTAACCAAGTAATAAAAATGCAAGAACTATAAAATCTAAATCTAGGAATATGTGCAAATTAGAGATATTGAAACAATTACTATAAATGTAAACCTGTGTTAAGCTGCATGTGCCAAGGGATTTAAATTCTTATAATCCACTGAAGTCCAAGTTTCTGCACCAGAAGTAAGGGCCCCAGAAACATTTTCACGTTCGATTTTATTTGGAAGGCACTAACTGGATTATTCAAATTTTCATATCCAATAGAATAATAATTTGTATAAATATGGGTATTGAAGTTTGAAAAACAAATAATGGTAATATTGTATGAATTTATGTGTAGATTTGAATTTTACTGTTTCAGTAATTTAACATAATATGAAATGAAACACTTCATAGAAGTGTGTCATGACATATTACAGGATTTTTTTTCAAATGCTCTAGGATACAAATTACATAAAAACAGCATTTATTATTATAAAATACCTCAAGATGCAGATTTTTCCATGTTTATTCTTTCAGAGTTCACAACTACTATGTATTTTTGTTGATGTAATTTTTACGTCTGTATAGCCGACTGTGCCACCCCTTAATTAAAACTAACATATAGGAGACCCATGAGGTAGACATGACTATAAAGTCACCTGCAACAAACAGAGTAACAATGACATCTTTCAAATTAAAGTGCTTTTTAAAATCATGATCACTTAATACTTTATCAGGTAAAATGCTGCTACATTTGAAAGTTTCCTTTAAAACATTTATTAATGACAATGGCCCAAATGCTCTGGTTTAATACACCAATTCCACTTTTAAAAGTTATCCTAAAAACCTTTAGAAAAGAAGATCAAAGAATTCAATTTGATCAAGAAAGTAGATGGAGTGAAGAACCTTGATTTACATAATATAATTAAAGAAATACTGGTGCCGTTAATTTTAGAAATAATTTAATTTGGTCTATATCAAAGAAGACATGTAAAGGAAGACAAGGGGCCGAAGGCATGCTTGTGGGGTAGGACTGGTGGCTGGCACCATAACCCTATCTGTAAAAAGATGCTTACTGGCATTCGCTTCCGCCAATTCATCTGTGATTTCTAAATTAATTCTGAAGGAAACCATAGCTTACTTGAGGATCCCGATGAGTATCTGTGTGCCTGGCTTTTTTTTCTCTGTTCACAGACAAAGCGTTTCCACTGGTCATGGAAAAAAGGTCTAAATCCGTGTCTTCTCTGCTTACAAGTCTTGCCTGGGAGCAACGGGAGAGAATGTATACAATCATGAAACAAAATATGGCATTTTCTGAATGCAGCTCACATTACCCCAAATAAACAAACAGGCTCTGTCAAACAACCTTCTTCAAAATGACACCACAATCCTTTACTGCTGCCCAGCCTGAACAAATGCACTATGTCAAAGCGTTTTTTTGCAAATAAGAGCCGATTTTAAAATTGAGCTTCGCTGTTTGAGTCTGCACAACAAAAGACAACATTTTAGTACAGTAATTTTTGATGAAAATCAATCTTGGAAGCAGTGGGTAAAGCTATAAACAGCTTAACTTCACTTATGACCAAGTATATTATTTAATACTTAGTTAAATGTTAGAGATGTCATACTATATTATTTTTACAGTATTTGTATTTATACTGGGTATAGTGTTGTTTTCTATCAACAATCCTTGAAATGAATATTCCATATTTGTGGACCCACTGCATCATTATAACCACTGTCAGTATAAAATATTATACTTTAAAAGGTCTAATTTTGAGATAATGTTAAATGCATAGTAATTTCAAGGTGTATTTTATGCAGCTAATTGTATATTTATTACTATGCTGTTTTGCTACTAAGCATCACAAGAATTGCTTGTTACCTATTGGATATTCCCTTACAGAATGCCTTGTATCACTAGGAAATTGTCAAGACTCAGCTGTGAAGTGGGGGATATGTTGTTACAAAAAAATAAATAAATAAAACAGCCCCTAAGCAGATAGGATCGACCCCCAAACCACTGCATAATTGGATTCTTGTGAGATCATGAGTATCATCCTAAATATTTGATGGGAGGAAAATTTAAATACAGCAAAATAAGAACAAGAAACCACCGCTGTGGTTAAAAACCTATCTCTGCATGATGAGTTACGCAGACCCAAGGAATCAGAATCTAAATATCGTCTTTCCCATTTAGCTATCACCTCCTTCCTTCACCCTCCTCCCTCCTCCACTTTCCCACACTTCTCCATCTTCCTCCTCCTCTATTTCTCTTTTTCTCTGCCTTCCTCTATTCCTCCCCTTTCTTTTTTGGAATTATGCTGTCTTCCTGTCTGCCATGGAACTCTCTAGTGATAAGAGTGCAAGCATACACCATGTCTGGCTTGCCATTTTCCTTCCTTCTCCAACCTTCTCATTCTCACTCACACATGAATGAAGATACTTGTTTTTTTTTCTCAAATAAACAAAATATTAAAGTTACAAAATGTGTGCATATTTATGTTTTATAACACATTTTAAATTCGTATGCACTATGGAATAACCCCCGAATTAATGAGTAAAAATTTCAAACCTTTCATAAACAAACCTTTGGGCCATATCTCAAATTCAAACCATAAAACAGAAAATCAAATTTTAAAGAACAATTTAACAGGAACATACGACTTCACAAGAGTGCCATCTAACAGCCTGAATTGAAACTTGCAAACATTTTTTTTTTTTGTTTTGTTTTGTTTTTTGTTTTATTTCACCGAGAGACAAAATGGTGGGATCATGGCAAGCTTCTACAGAAACCCGGGATTTCAAATGAAGGCTCAGTTCATGACCGTCAGTGAATCTGGTATAGCTCCTGGGTTATTGATGTTTAAATTCTATACGTGAAACATTGGCGTAAGCACTATTCTAACAGCTAACAGAAACGTTGTAAAAGAAAAACGCATCTTTTCTGCTCTACTTGTTATCACTGGGATGTAATGTGTCTCCCCAAAAGGCTTATATCCTGGAGGCTTGGTCTGAGCTAGTAGATTCTATCTGCAGGGATTGGGTCATGAGGCCTCACAGAAACCGTGAAGTAATCCACCAAGGGTCTAAACATCTGTTGGCATAATTGGGAGATGGTGCAAACCCTGGAGGTAGGGGCCAAGCTAAAAGAAAGTATCTCACTAAATCTTGTCCTGGCATCCCTTCCTGTTTCTCTCTCTCTTCTCTTCTCTCTGTCTCTCTCTCTGTCTCTCTGTCTCTCTCTCTCTCTCTCTCTCTCTCTCTATATATATATATATATATATATATATATATATATAGGCTAATGTAATTTCTTTTATTGTTTTAGAGTATTGTTCTATTTATAAAAATATAGGCTGGCTATAGAGCACCAGAAGAGTTTAGTACATATTTCCTATACTGTATCAGTAATTTATAAGAAGAGGCCATGTCAAGAGATGAATCTATGCTATCCAAGTTTGAGTAAGTCAGTATGTTAAGTAGGAATGAATAGAAAATGCAGAATGAGTAGGAAACTATCTTAGATGAGAGCGGGTAAGCTAGTTTACATTTTAAATATCTCTCTGTATAATTTGATCTCAATGAAACACATAGACGTTAAATGAATTCAGTGTTCAAAATTCATGTTTTTAAACTTTCAAGGAAAACAATACCGAACATTTCCTTTGCAACCTCCACCTAGCTTGCTCAGCAATTTTCACATGGCAGAAATGGAATTAGCTTTGCGTCTAACAAGCCAATGAATTGACGTGGGGTGCAAAACTCCTATTGCAGAAATCCTGTTATGTCTTGAGGAGGTTTCACATGTAATTACTCTTCATTATATGCATATATCATTATAACTTCCATTACAAGCAAGTCAAAAAGCTGTTTCATTATTCCAAAGAAAAGCCTTTACTCATTGTCACCTTCGTGCTAGATAGCCATTACTGATATGCTGCCCATTTAGCACTGAGACTTTCAGAATGTTACATGAGTGAAATTGTACAGTTTTATACTGTACAGCAATCTGATGTAGGCTATTTAATACCATGTCCTGGTGCATGTTAATATTTCCCTGATCATTGCCGTGCAGTCATTTCATTTTACATCCATTTAACCTGTGTTCCATTCTTATATTTTCACATAATGAGTGGACTTTGGTTAAGTATTGAAGCTATTATGAACAAAACTACTATAAAAACACTGTGCTGCATTTAAAATGAATAGGTTTTAAAATTCTTTAGGAATTTTCAATTTGAGAATCTCTTTTAATTATAGTCAGCTCCTTTTTTCATGAATGTTCATTTCTTTGGAAAAATTTTCAGTAACTCATCAGCTGCATGTACGTTTCTAAATTTTCTTGGTTAAACTTTAGTTAAAAAAATAAGTAAGTTATAATTACACCACTTACCCCCTTAACACTTTTCTCTTTATAACAACTCTCATACCACCCCCATTACTCCTCTTCAAAATGATGGTCTTTTTTGTTTGTTTATTATTGTTACATTGTATTATATTGTATACAGTCTGCTGAGTTTGTTTAATGTTGCTTGTGTGTATTTGATTTCAGGGCTGATCAGTTTTTATTGGATAATCAATGAGGGGGATCATCCCTGGGAAAGACTGATCCTCCCTCTATCAGGGGTCATTAGTTGTCTGTATTTGCTTAACAGTGGTCCTGTGAGTTTCTCCTCTTCTATGTCACCATGAAGCACAACATGGCCAGCATGCCAAGATATTACTACAAGTTCAAGAGTGGCATTCCTAACATGGTGGTAACCAAGAGCTGTCATACTGGACTGAAGGCACATTCAACTGGAGAGAAATCGCATCTGGGGCTGGAAACCTAGCGAACCTCCTGGGATAAGAAAAATCATAAAGGAGGAACTACTACCACAACTTTACTAGAACAGCATAATTCCCTGCTGTATTCTAAAACTTATCCGTATACCAACATATAAGTGTAGATCTCACCTTGAAACAAGACAAACAAAACAAATCCTTCACTTTGCAGCAAACAGATCATTACAGAAAATAACAACTGACAATAATCCAGCAATTAAGTAACATGGTGTGCTTTGTCTGAATGGATGCATCTACAATAATACTCCTACACCTACGTTTCAGGGAATATCATGGAAGAGGGTATTGAAAGATTATAACAGCAGAGGAACAGGATGTCTTCTGTACAATTATGCATCCTAGAAGCAACAGAGGACTTACGACTTACACATAATACCTCAATGATATGGCAACCTAGCAATACTTGAACAATTATAACACCAACAGATATGTTGACTAGGAGGGGTAATTCAACAGATAACATCATCCCAAATTTTAAAATCAGAATCTATTTCCTGAATAAACTGGAATATGAGTATCCTCTGAAAAACCACAGAATGTGGTTCATTTGTCAATTTAATTCAAATATCAACATATTATTCTATATCGTTACCATATTTTCTAATACATTTTACAATATTATGAAATGATAGTTTCCAGTTACTATCAATTGCATAACATGCTTTGGCCTTGTTTAGGCAGAGATATTATTTTCTAGTTCCCTCACATGCCAAAATCCACTTTGATTATGCCTTATGCTATAATATTGAAGTTCAGTAAGAGGTATACATAATAATTTTTATCTACATTTTAATAATTTCTTGCTTTTTAATGTTTGTTCCTCCTTTCCTTACAGTGGCCATTAACAAATCTGTGAAAAATTTTTATATATACATACATTATTTATACATACATATATAAAACAACCTGATGTACTAATATCCCTAGGGAAATATGCATGACACTCTCATAGGAATTTCACTAAAAATACAAGAAAATATTTCATGAGTGATAATTTGAATAGGAACATAAAATTTTTCTTTTCCTTTCTCTCTCTCTCTCTATATATATATATATATACATATACAAATATGTATATCATACACATCACACACATACATATATATGTATATGTATGTATATATATATATGTATATATATATATATATATATATATATATATTTAAAACAATTATTGTCCAAATTCAGGAAAATCTCAAGGAAATAGTATATAAGTGCTCTGACAGCCATAACATTATTTTTTGTCATAAAGACAACATGAAATTCTTCATGGAAAACAAAATATTAATCCATTTCTTTGGTCAATATAGAATCTGAGCAAGGAATGTTTGTTAGTTTTCATAAATGGGAGGTGTTAATCCACTTCCATCAACTACAGAAGTACTGTATACTCACTGGTCATGATACCCACTTCCAAAATCTCTGAGACAGCACTGAGAATTTTCCTCTTAATGAGATCCACTTTTCCAGCTCCCATGTTGGCCACATTCTTCTACTTACAAAGGCTTTCTTCAATAGCTTACAGAAGAGTGAATGGGACAAGCATATGCCTTCCATTTTCCAGGCTACACTCTTATTACCATGTTTAGAATCTGACCTTAAAGCTCAAATAATACTTAGCAGAGTACCACTGCACTCCATAAAAATAAGAGGGCTTAAGCTGATAATCACTTGTTACTTTTAATATGGTTTGATTTTCCAAACTGGGAACCCATATTGCTGATTCTTTCTAGTGTAATCTATAAATTCAACTCTTAAAATTTTCAGGAAAATAATCTCATTAAGCAATTTCCCATCCAGAGTAATTTTGTTTAACATGTTAATATTTTCACATCTGTCAAATAAAATCATTATTTTAAACGATGTCACATTGCAACATTGCATTGCAAGTCAAGAAAATATGTTATTATTTTAGCACATGGCACTGGAGGTTGCCCCAAAATACAGTTATGATATTTCATAATTTGAACATATTATGAACATATTTTAAAGTGTTATTTATTGGGTACGTGTGTCTATAACATTTCTCTGTAACTTTAAACATATTTCTTACCACAAGTTGAACTCTTCCACCATTAAGCACATCTGGATCTAACTCAGGCAAGAAGTGATTGCTTCATGGTGATACAAAAGGAAAAGAAGTTATAGTATAAATATAGAGGAAAAATATTAAAAAAATGACCAAATGTATTTATTCCTCAAGTAGAGACAAGTTTTAAATTATATTATATATAATAAATGCACATGTTATATATACACATATATACTACCATTATTTGTAAATTAATTTTTCAAAAACTAATTTCTAAATAATACCACCTTTCTTTTTAAAGTATAAACATTAATAAGCAAACATCTAAAAGTACTAATAATTACAGGTGATATAGAAAAGCTACGTGCATTTTAATGACATTCATTTCTTTTTTCCCCATTTGTCTTTAGCTCTTTGAGACAGAGTCTCATACACTCCACGTTGGACTCAAACTCACCATATAGTCAAAGGCAAGCCTGGACTCCAGTACCGGGTTGATTACAGGCCTATCTCTCTCACAGTTTTTACAGTCTTAACCTTTCACCTGAGGCAGACAAAGTGTTTACTGCACTGTAATATTTACAGTGGAGTTTAATTTTTCCATGATATTGACATTTTTCTTTTTAAAGATTTTTGTCTTTGGGAGCTTTAGAAGTGGTTCAATATTAAGAATTTAAGGTGTGGTGGTCTATGGTTAGAATCAAAGAGCAATAGGGTTAGGAGGGAAGATAAACAGATACATAGACTTTACTGGGCAGCCAAACTAGTCCAAACCAGGGGTTCCCAGACCAACAAGTTACCACGTCTCAAACGATGTTTTGTTAAAAAAAAAAAAAAAGGCACAAATTGTGGGTAGAGAAGGGGTTGTAGATCTTAGAGGAGTTGGGGAAGGAAGTGAAGATGATTGAAACAGCTTGTTTAAATTGTTAAAGAACTAGTAGAAAAAAATAAGACAGATGTTTTCTGAAGGATGACATTAAAAGATGACTTCTGACTTCAACATAACATACACACACGTGCATTTACAGACATATACTTGCACCTCCCCAAAATGCACCCCCCAAAAATGCAGGCATGAGTGCACACACACACACACACACACACACACACACACACACACACTGTCTCTCTTTCTCACACACACACAGATTTTTGACAATTTAATGTGATTTTGAAATTACTATAACGAAGTCTTTTATACGTAGTAGATAGATACAGAAATTCTGAGGAATTGTACCTTCTACTACATACACATTTTGCTTACTAATAAGTGGTAATATTAAGTATTTAAACATTTAAAATTCACCTTAAAACTGTTTTTATTTTCCACTGTATCACACCTACATCAACACTTTAACTTTTGAAAAAGATCTCTCATGTCTAGTTAACAGACATAAGTAATAGAGTTTGTTCTATTTGTTACATTTCTAAGTATGATATTCCTAAGGACCAGTCAACCTGATTAATGTGAACATGAAATAAATTTATGTTTGCATTAAATGGAACGCTTCAAAATAAAACATGAGAAATACTGATGACTTTCTTTCTTTGTTCACAATAAATATGTCAAATAACAGAAAGTTTCTATTTTCACTTTTTTAAAAAAAATCAAATGATGTCCCCCATTTTAGGAAGTTAAATGGGATGAAGTCCTCATATATGAAAGTGTAATTCACATATATCATCATAAAACTTCAATCCCGAATTTTAGCTGTCAATTGTATAAGTAACCAATCTTTAAAAAAAAGTATCTTGGTGTAACGCTTACCAAACAAGTAAAAGATCTATATAATAAGAACTTTGTGACTCTAAAGAAAGAAATTAAAGAAGATACCAGAAAATGGAAAGACCTCCCATGCTCTTGGATAGGTAGGATAAACATAGTAAAAATGGCAATCTTACCAAAAGCAATCTACAGATTCAATGCAATCCCCATTAAAATCCCACCACAATTCTTCACCGACCTTGAAAGGATAATAATCAACTTTATATGGAAAAACAAAAGACCCAGGATAGCCAAAACAACCCTATACAATAAAAGAACATCAGGAGGCATTACCATTCCTGACTTTAAGCTCTACTACAGAGCTATAGTTCTGAAAACAGCCTGGTATTGGCATAAAAATAGACAGGTAGACCAATGGAATCGAATTGAAAATCCTGATATTAATCCACGCACATATGAACACCTGATTTTCGACAAAACAGCTAAAATTATACAATGGGGCAAAGACAGCATCTTCAACAAATGGTGCTGGCACAATTGGATGAGGGTGTGTAGAAGACTGCAGATAGACCCATGTCTGTCGCCATGCACAAAACTCAAGTCCAAATGGATCAAAGACCTCAACATCAATCCAGCCACATTGAACCTCTTAGAAGGGAAAGTAGGAGGTACCCTTGAACAAATTGGTATAGGAGACCGCTTCTTGAACATAACTCCAGGGGCACAGACACTGAAAGAAACAATTAATAAATGGGACCTCTTCAAACTTAGAAGCTTCTGTAAGGCAAAGGACACAGTTGACAAGACCAAACGGCAGCCCACTGACTGGGAAAAGATTTTCACTAATCCTATATCCGACAAAGGGCTGATCTCCAAAATATACAAAGAACTCAAGAAACTAGTCAACAAAACACCAAATAACCCTATTAAAAAATGGGGTACAGAACTGAAGAAAGAATTCTCAATGGAGGAAATCAAAAAGGCTGAAAGACACTTAAGAAAATGCTCCACATCCTTAGCTATCAGGGAAATGCAAATCAAAACAACTTTGAGATACCATCTTACCCCTGCCAGAATGGCTAAAATTAGAAACACCAGTGATGACTTATGTTGGAGAGGATGTGGAGAAAGTGGAACACTCCTCCACTGCTGGTGGGAGTGCAAACTCATACAGCCACTTTGGAGATCAGTATGGCGGTTCCTCAGGAAAATGGGAATTAGTTTACCACAGGACCCAGCAATCCCCCTCTTAGGCATATACCCAAAGGATTCACATCAATGCAACAAAGACATCTGTTCAACTATGTTCATAGCAGCACTATTTGTAATAGCAAGAACCTGGAAGCAACCTAGATGCCCTTCAATTGAAGAATGGTTAATGAAGATGTGGCACATCTACACAATGGAATACTACTCTGCAGAAAAAAATAATGGTATCTTGAAATTCGCAGGCAAGTGGATGGCACTTGAAGAAACCATCCTGAATGAGGTAACCCAGTCACAAAAAGAGGAACACAGTATGTACTCACTCATATATGTATTTTAGACCTAGATCAAATGATCACCAGCCTATAATTCACATCACCAGAGGAACTAGGATACAAGTTGTATTCTAAGAGATTCATATAAAGTCCCTCACAGAACTGGGAAGGGACAAGTCCCCCCAGACCTCAGGTATAGTGGGGGAGGACAGCTAATGGAGAGAGAAGTAGGAGAAAATGAGAGGGAGGAGAGGAAGGCATGTGCGACCAGGAGGATTGAGCCTGGTTAGGAATGGAAAATAGGAAAGAGAGAGAGAGACAGAGACAAGAGAGAGAGAACATAAAAGAGGGAGCCAATATTGGTTTGAAGATAAAGTTGAACACAAAGAAAGGTCGAGGGAACTACAAGACTGCTCCCAACTAACAATCTCAGCTTCCGTGGAAAGGCTATCATAAATGCCCTTCCCGGAGAGTGAGATCAACAACTAACTTCTCCATGGAGTCCTCAACTAATGCCTGTTGAAAACAGGAGCAAACACCCATACATAAACACTGAGTCAAACTAGAACCCAGAAGCAGATGGAGAGGACAAGACCATGCGGTAGAAGTACATAGAGACAGCTTACCTGAACAAGGAGGAGCTAAGGGCCACTAGACTGATAGCTGGGAAGCCAACAGGGGGTCTGACTCGGACCCCCCCTGAATATGGGTCTCAGCCAGAAGGTCTGAGCAGTCTAAGAGACCTCAGACAGTGGAGCCAGGATGTATCCCTGGTGCACAAAAGGACTTTGCAAACATATCCCCCATGGAGGGATAACTGCCTTATTCTAGAGATAGGAGAGAAGCCCTAGTCCCTACTTCACAGGACCTGTCAGATCTACATGACCCCAACTGGATGGCATTCCCCTACATATTGTATTGTGGTGGGGGGTTGGGAGGGGAGGGTGTTTAGAGTGCATGGGAGAGGGTAGAGAGGGCAAAAGGGGAGGGAAGGAGGGAGGGAGGGCTTGGGGGGAGGGAGGGAGGGAGGGAGAGGGAACTGGGATCGACATGTAAAATAAAAAACGCTTTGACTCCAAAATTTAAGTTGAAGAACAAGTTACTGGGGAAAAGTATTTCTATTTTTGTTTCCACAGAAAATGAAAAGATGTGGATTCCTTCCAGACTAATGTGGTTTGATCACACCAGACCGCCTGAAACAGAGTACAAGCTGATCCTACATTCCAAACAGCTGGACAAAACAGCCCTACAGACTACAGCTAGGATATCTGAATCTTCTTCGAATCCCCCAAGACAGCGCCCCTTACCAGCAGGAAGTAGTTTGGAAAGAACGACGCCCAAATTCCCAAATATTGTGTATAAATGTTTGTTTTCATTTAATTGGACTTTGTTATATAAAATTAAATAAAAAATACTCTATATGCATTAAAAAAATCTATATATTGACACAGCAACAGTTAATGGATAATGCAAGTTTTCTTTATGCATTAGAGGAGGCTGCATGGTTTGTGTGGTGGTTTTATGCAGAACAGAACAGAGTTCTTCCTAAACACTTCCTGGTGGAGCGTATAGAGAACGATTCAATCCACTCTGTGGGAAATCCTCTTACAATGTGATGCATTGACTTTTGGCTAAGATGTTGTATTTGTTATAGCACAATTAACCCAGGTTTCACTTTTCAAGATATGTTTACCATACAAAAATCTAATTTTAAGGAAATGACCTCACCATTTCAGGGTTCTGGGACTAGTTGTTTCTGGAAAGGCAACTTGTGTATGAAGCCACTGGTAGGTATACTCATTAGTCTTTTGTAACTTTTCATTCGCAGTGATCGGCTTGAAGAGGGCATCTTCGTCCTCACCTTGGGAAGAAATGTGTAACGTTTGTCATTCAAAGGACTAAAGCCAGGGCAGGTAGCTTACATGATGCTAAGAATATCATCACAGTAAAGGTATTGACTAATGCGTGGTGACTAAATAATGTCAGCTATTAAAAATGAAGCATCTCCTCTCTTTCAGTTTGAATCAGCTACTTTGAAGAATGAAAGAAAAATTTTAATCCATCTACCATTGTTTAAAAGTAGTTTCAATTAGAAAACTCAGTTGGTTTGGAGAGACAATAGACATTTCTTATATTAACAGGCTTGCAATTTGACTTTATTTTTTATTATTTACATTTGAAACAAGCTTATTTTACATCTCAGTCCCAGTTCCCTCACCCTCCCACCCTCTCCTGTCCCCCCACCAGAGCCTATCCCATCCCCTTTCTACTCCCCAGGGAGGGTGAGGCCTTCCATGGGGAGTCTACAAAGTCTGCCATATCATTTGGGGTATGGCCTAGGCCCTCCCCCCATGTGTCAAGGCTGAGAGAGTATCCTTCTATGTGGGATGGGCTCCCAAAGTCCATTCGCATATTAGGGACAAATACTAATCCACTACCAAAGGCCCCATAGGCTGCCCAGTCCTTCTAACTGACACCCACATTCAGGAGGTCTGGGTTGGTCCTATGCTGGTTTCCTAGCTATGAGGAGACTAGTGTCCGTGAGCTCCCCCCTGTTTCTGTGTATTTCTCCAGCCTGGTCTTGACCCCTTTGCTCATCACTCCTCCCTATCTGCAACTGGATTCCAGGAGTTCAGTCAGTGTTTAGCTGTGGATATCTGCTTCTGCTTCCATCAGCTACTAGATGAAGGCTCTGGGGTGGCATATAAGGTAGTCATCAATCTCATTATCGGGGAAGGGCATTTAAGGTAGCATCTGAACTATTGCTTAGATTTAGTTGGGGTCATCCTTGTAGATCTCTGAACATTTCCCTAGTGCCAGATTTGCTTTTAGGCTTATTTTAAGATCCAATTGTCCTTATATCATCCTCATATATAATAGAACTTATAGATTACAACAAAGGTATCTAAAACAGATTTTTGATTTTACAGAATCGAGTTTTGTGTAAGCAAGTATTATTTTCAATTATTAACAGCTTGTATTAATTATTCAAAACAATGAATTTCATTGTGATATTTGCATACATGGTAGAAGAGGAAACTGATTCTCAAAAGTTGTCCAATGATCTAAACATACCGCATGCTTTGGCACTGGTGAGATCAAACTACACACACATACAAACTAAGTATAAAAGTATAGAGCAAAGGATTACCAGAGAAGCTTGGAAACAAGGAGGACCCTAAGAGGGACATACATGGTCCCCTGGAGAAGGAGCAGGGGAAGGAGAAGGGGAGAAGAGGAGGAGAGAGGAGGGCATGAGGGAGAGGGAAGATTGACTTGGGGGAAGAATAGAGAAGAGCAAGAAAAGCAATACCATAACAGAGGGGGCTGTTATAGGTTTAAAGAGAAATTTGGCACTAGGGAAATGTCCAGAGATCTACAAGGATGACCTCACCTAACAATCTAAGCAATAGTGCAGAGGCTACCATAAAAAACCCTTCCCTGATAATGAGATTGATGACTACCTTATATGTCTTCCTAGAGCCTTCATCCAGTAGCTGATGGAAGCAGAAGCTGACAACCACAGCTAAACACTGACTGAACTCCCGGGATCCAGTTGCAGATAGGGAGGAGTGATGAGCAAAGGGGTCAAGACCAGGCTGGAGAAACACAGACAGCTGACCTGAACAAGGAGGAGCTCATGGACTCCAGACTGATAGCTGGGAAACCAGCACAGGACTGACCCAGACCCCCTGAATGTGGTGTTAGTTAGGAGGACTGGGCAGTCTATGGGGCCTCTGGTAGTGGAACAGTATTTATCCTTAGTATACGAATGGACTTTGGGAGCTCATTCCACATAGAGGGATACTCTCTTAGCCTGGACACATGGGGGAGGGCCTAGGCCCTCCTCCAAATGATATCACAGACTTTGAAGATCCCCCAAGGAAGGCCTCACCCTCCCTGGGGAGCAGAAAGGGGATGGGATGGGGGTTGGTGGGGGGGGCAGGGGTGGAGAGGAGGGAGAGGGACCTGGGATTGACATGTAAAAAAAACTTGTTTCTAATTTAAATTTTAAAAATGAAAAGTATACATGCTAAAAACAATCTTTATGCTAAGTTGTAAGAATCTCTGTTTCTCAGCGTGTGTGTGTGAGTGTGTGTGTGTGTGAATGAGTGTGAGTATGTGCGTGAGTGTGTGTGAGAGTGTGTGTGAGTGTGTATGTGTGTGTGTAAGAGTGTGTGTGTGTGTGTATGTGAGAGTAAGTGTGTGAATATGTGTGTTTAGAATACATTGCTGCTATGTTGGTGCCATGCATTTTAGTTTACACTGTTGTTTTGCAGCATTGTTTAGCACTGTGGGCTTTGCACTGGTACTTTCTGTTTGTGCAGCCCCCATAATTAATACAGGCTTGTTGACTTTGTTTGATGGCCTGCATGTTAATACAGTTACTTCATGGTAACCAAAGTCACAATTTATAAAGCTATAAAATATGATGGTTAAAAATGCCAACTTTTCCAGGTGCAGTACTAATTATAGCATTTAGAAGCGCTGACTCAAGATTGCAAGTTCAAGGTTCATTTGGGCTATGTGAAAAGTGTCAGGCAGGCCAGCGAATGATATTGAGACCATTCATTTAAATTAAAAAAAAAAAGTAAATAGGTAAAAGGAAATCAAATGTCAGCCTATTATTTTGAGACATTCTTACAATTATTGCTTGACTTAGGAATCAGGATAATTGTACGTTCTTGGAAAATGAAGCATGTCTTCAAATCAAATGCATAACGAATATATATAATACACTCCTGTGTACACACAAATGTTAGCATGAATAATACTGAATATGACGAGAATGAACATCTTACATCTCCTCTTCCTGTAAAGGTCAGTGAAATAACTCTGGTTTTCAAAACCAGAAGATGTTAGAGCCATATTGTAAGGTCTAAAGGCACGGTGCTTGTTTCTCTAATGCCTAAGTTACTGTTGCTTCTGATGCTACAGCATGACTCTAAAATGTTCACCGCTCCTGCCAAGCAATGTTATGGTAACCCTTCATTAGTTACGCCCAGAGAAAGAATTCCTTCACATGCCTGGGTTGGTCAATGAGTTCAAGGGCAGGAGCATTTGCATTTGCTACATACAGACAGTATAAAGCAGACTGCCTCCAAAAGAAGTGTTGTCATAGCTTACAAAGTTAAGTTTCTCTGTGGAATCTGGCTTCCAATGTACCATTCTTGGTTGACCACACCAGGTACACTTCCGTGACATTAAATAGTAAGACTTCGGTGAGTCTCACGATCAGCTGAGCCAAGGCACAAGCTTTACCTATCCTTAATAATGTAGAAAACATGTTATAATAAGCATGTCTAGCTTACACACATCTGTGGCTTTCTGTTCTGTTAATACTGCCATTTATTGCCATAGTCACTTACTAAGGTACCCTTGGAAATTTTCCTCAGTTCTTCATAATGCTAACTGGTTACACAGTAGAACCCAGAAGAAGTTTTAACTGCTCCTGTGTAAAGAGCAGACCTTTCATTGTGAGGGACTAACTCATGTGGGCCATCATTAAAACACAGACTGGTACTCTGGATGAAGCTCAATGTAAGAAACAGGGTAGGCGCCATGTGACTGTGGCTGACTGTAACCCAAAAGTTGCTTCAAGCTGAAGGATGTGGTGTCATTCTAGCTGAACCCCTATAAGACTGCCCTGTCATTGAGCAGAACACCCCAAGTAGAGTTCACTCAGCATCATACAGAAGTCCTGCCTCAGCATCTCTGTTTGGGAAATAACAGAAGCTCATCTTTCTTTACAGGTCTCTGGTCATACTGCTCCAAAGCCTCTCCTTCCGGTGTTAAAGAAAGCTTCCTTCTGTCTGTAGGAAGCAAAATCTGTGGACCACTCTACTTTGCACCCTGCTTCACCTATTCTCTGTATCTTGAACCTCAGAGAGATAACTCCCTTTGAATCTTGCTATGCTCTGGCAACTTTAAACCATAGCTTCCATTAATTGAAAAAATTGTTGACTCAATACTAAAGCGCTATGTCATAGACAATTTACTATGTAAAATGTCAATAAAAAGAAAACCTGAAGCAAATTCCATTTTCCAAAGCCAACTACTGGATAACATTTTAAAGCAAGTGGGTTCCCCCCCATAAACTTGGCTTCAATTTATGTTCTATGAATTCTTTATGTTGTGTGTTCTGTTGGTTGCAACAAAAACATTATATGCAACAGAAATCTCATCTTCAATGCAGTTGTTATCAACTTATATATATAGTTGTCTGGTGATTCAATTTTTATTTTTTCAAGATATTAAAACTCATGTTTACTGTGTGTGTTTTGCTTGCATGTTTACTGTGTGTGTTTTGCTTGCATGTTTACTGTGTGTGTTTTGCTTGCATGTAGATGTGTGCATTATATGAAACCCCCTGGAAGCCAATATAGAGCAGCACTATCCGAGGAAAAGGAGTTCCAAATGGTTGGATTCATCATATGAACGATGGGAATTGAATCCTGGTTCTCTACAAGAGCAGTAAATGTCCTTAACCACAGAGCTCTCTCTCACCTGGGCCCTGATGATTAGGCTTTTATCACCCTATTTAATTTATATTCACATGAATCTAGAGATAATATGTCACATTATAAATGTTTTGGGAAACTTGGTAAATATTTGCATGCAGTGTTTAGGGTCCCACCCATTTTCTAGAAATATAGTTCACTGAGTGCTTGCTTCATGTTGTCATATTGAACACTAAAAAAAATGATAAATAGAAGGTATTATATAATAAAAGCTGTGATTTACTTCTTATTTACAAATTTCATATTGTGTATTGTGAAAAATGTTTTGCATACCTTCAGATTAGAAACTACCTAAGTCATATAGCACCTTCCTTTATGTTTTTAACAAAACATAAATTCT